AGCTACCTTGGGAGGCTGAGGCTGGAAGATCACTCGACCAGGAATTTGAAGCCACAGTGAACTATGATGATGCCACTACACTCTAGCCTGGGAGACAGTGCGAGATCCTCCCCAGAGGAGGAACAGGAAGAGACTTATTAAAGGATACAAAATTACAGCTACAAAGGAGGAATTCTACAAAGGAGGAGTTCTGGTTCTATAGCACTGTAGGATGACTATAGTTAACAATAATATGTTATATAGTTTCTAGTAGCTACAAGGAAGAATGTTCCCAACACACAGATGTGATGAGTGTCTAAGGTGACGGATATGCTAATTACCCTGATCTGATCACTACACATTCTTTTTTTTTTTTTTTTGAGACAGAGTTCGCTTTGTTACCCAGGCTAGAGTGAGTGCCAATGGCGTCAGCCTACGCTACAGCAACCTCAAACTCCTGGCTCAAGCGATCCTGCGTGTCTCAGCCTCCTGAGTAGCTGGGACTACAGGCATGCGCCACCATGCCTGGCTAATTTTTTCTATATATAAGTTTGGCCAATTAATTTCTTTCTATTTATAGTAGACACAGGGTCTCACTCTTGCTCAGGCTGGTTTTGAACTCCTGATCTCAAACAATCCACCCGCTCGGCTCCCAGAGTGGCTAGGATTAGCAGGCATGGGCCCACTGCACCATTTATTGAAGAGACTGTCCTTTCCCTTGTGTATATTCTTGGCACTTTTGTCAAAAATTAGTTGGCTGTAGATAATGTAGATTAATTTCTGGGTTCTCTATTCTGTTCCATTGGTCTTTTTTTTTTTTTTCTGTGTTTATGCCCGTATCATGCTGTTTTGGTTACCACAGCTTTGTAGTATATTTTGAAGTCTGATAGCTTGATTCCTCCAGCTTTATTCTTTTTGCTCGGGATCGCTTTGGATTTTCAGGGTCTTTTGTGGTTCCATACAAACTTTAGGACTTTTTTCCCTGTCTCTGTGAAGAATGTCACTGGTATTTTGATAAAGATTGCACTGAATCTGTAGATTGCTTTGAGTAGTATATGTCTCTTTTTACACCTGCTGTTTATAATGTTAAGATCTACTGCAGGGAAAAAACCCACAAATGTGCACTGTAGATGGCATCACATATTTCTGTTCAAGTGAGACAGTGGGTGTATGCAAATTTTATTTATACACATACATTAAATTTCTTTTGTGACCATTTATTAAAAAAAATCTACAAATAGCTCTGGGTGGTAAATTACCTGAGTTTAAAAATAATATATTAAAAGAACTTAATCACAAAGCTACTGTTATTTTTCTTATTTCTTACATAGCCTTATATTGTCATAATTTTCATGTAACCTTATAAAACCTCAAGTGCCTAAAGCCATTAGTTCAAATTTAGCACCTGTTATAAGCTCTCAATGTGTAATCCTCAACCTTTCCAGTCTAAAAGGAGGCATTAGGATGGAATATAGCTATGGTTTGGGAAAACTGATTAAAACTGTATCAGAATCCCAAAGAGGGAAATGATAGCTACAAAGCTCTGCTCACAGGCTTAGTGGTGTTTCTCTTAGCAGAGTTTACAGAGTTTCAGTGTTTCTGGCCCTCAGGTTGCTCTTCATGTAATTCACATTTAATTCCCAGGCACAGTATTGTCTGGACTTTTCTCTTCATTATTTAAAGTTTACTAATATAGAATAGGCCACAAGCCTTTCTAATAATACTATGTTTTTTTCTAAAGAAGGTTCTGAATTTGAGAATTGTTTTATATGAGAATGTTGTGACTTATCATCAACTGCAGAAATATTTTTCAAAGTATGGTCCAAGAGATAATGGTTGTCAGCTGCTATAAAGATGTGTTTATCACTTGAAAAGGACTAATTAATATTACTGTAGGGAAGCTTCTTTAAACACAGCCATTTTCTGAAAGGAAGACAATGAAGGGGAGAAAATAAAACAAGGAACATTTTATTATACCTTATAAAAAGCTCAGTGTAGCTATCCTACTGAAATAATGTAATTAAAGGGAATTAAATGGGTTGGGTAAAGAAATTTTTTAAAACTAGCCCCTTGAAAAGGAATAGAATTAAGCAGGATCATCTTTTAAACCCAAATTCTGTCTGCACATACATTTTAATTAACATAGTATTTATTGAATGACAAGCTGAGTTGGCAGCTACAAGCAGAGTATATTATGTTGAGATCTGCCTTGAAGGATGGATGATGAGGCTAGGGTATGGCAGCCTCAAATGCCCACGCCAAGAAATAGCTGATGGCATGAGGGACCATCACGTATTTTGACCAGGGAACAGAGGATCTGATATGAACTTTAGTTTCTCTCTTGTCAAATGAAAACATATAGAAAGCAAGGATTTGATCTTTTGTGTTTTTTTTGTATAACACCAATACCAATTCTAGCCTGTCAGGGCAAAGTCAATAATAATTAATAGCTGTTGATGAAGCCTGTCATGCTAGAATTGATTTTTTAATAAGCAGGCTAATAAGTGAAAATTTACGTAAATTCTTTTAAGAACAACTCTTAAGGCGATTTTCACAACCTTTTATATTCATTATGCATCCAGTAGGTATGATGGTGGATGATTTAGCTTTAGCATAGAGAATGTGGCAGATGATTGAAAAAAAAAATTGCAGTGCTTCTGTCTTAATGAGAGAACTTGACTTGTCGAAGGAAATAAGAGGTCACAGGAGGTCTCTTGGGAAAAAAAGAACAATGAGCTTGGTTCCAGCTGACAAAAATTTACCCTAATGATTTGACCAGCTAACGATGATGACTGGGTGAGTTCCCTGAGTCCACTGACCCGGATGTTCTAATTTGTAAATGCAAAGTGACTTCTTTATCAGCCTTCTGGGGAAATCTTCAGAGCTGTGAACCTGCTGCCTTCAGTAATCTTGCTATCCAGAGCTCCGGGCTGTTCTCAGATGAAATTTTAGAAACAGGCCACTGGAGCTTTCCGGGTAAGGGCTTCAGAGGTGGCCAAAGTACCAGCAGTCGGGGAATGAGGTTTATCTGCCCTGGTAATCAGCACTTGATTTAAGACAATCAGTGGGGTGCCTCTTTTCTTCTAGGTTGCAGTTGATTGGGGTTGGCTGGGGCTGAGTTGTTTGGGAAGCAGGAGTTTTGCCTAGCGTGAGTCAGCACTGCTTGGGTAAACTGCCTGCTCTGTTGCAATCCTGCTTGCCAAAGATACGTCCCCAGGCGGCACCATTCACTTTGCCTGAAAGCCGCTGCTCTTGGTTCCTGAGATGATCTCATCTGAATGTGGCTCCAACGGCTTCAGCTCGAGGCAGCTTGCTTTCTACCAGGGCAATGTTTTGAAACAGGCAAAATCAGGTAACCTCAGACTGTTTTCTTAGTTTCATTAGCTGGACTAAGCCGAGTTAGAAACTGGGACAATCCTTGGTCTTCAAAAGTGAGTCAGTGCCTTATCAATTTTGGGTATCTTAAAGTCAGCCCTTCCACTCTTTGTAGGGGTAGTTACGGGGAAAAGTTTTGTTTTATTTGGGATCTGGATGTGGCTTTAGATCTAATTAGACCACTGGTTATATAAACCTTAGAGAAAGTCAAACACGTTAGGTTTACAGCTTTATCCATCTTTTGCTCTTGTGTTTTCTGTTCTTTTTGTGCCTTGTGAGAGACAGCTTAGTCAAACGAAACCATCATTAAAGGAAAAGAGGTGAACCCAATTGCTTACCTACATAATAACAATGTTGACTTGGAGAGAACACTGTTTTACCAGTGAGTTTGTACCCATATTTCTTTCTGAGGTATCATGAAAAACCTGCCCTCATCTCTTATTCTGTTAGGCTACTGCCCCGACTCCCTCTGCTTTCATTTCTAAACTTTTGAATTCCTCGCCTAAACTGAATATCCTATCTCTTGGTCAGGGGTCCTCAAACTTTTTAAACAGGGGGCCAGTTCACTGTCCCTCAGACTGTTGGAGGGCCGGACTATAGTTTTAAAAAAACTATGAACAAATTCCTATGCACACTGCACATATCTTATTTTGAAGTAAAAAACAAACGGGCAAAAATACCCGCATGTGGCTTGCTGGCCGTAGTATGAGGATGCCTGCTCTAGGTAGTCACCCCCCAGCCCAAAGTTATGCTTCTGCTCCTTTTAATTATACCAAATGGTCCGTCTTCTCGTTCATGTAAGAACTTTGAATATGTGAGCCTTCTCTCAAACAGCCTCCCCCAACTTAATCTGGCCAACTGGTTTGAGCCTAGAAGTCACTTCTTACACAGAGCCTCTTACTTACCAAGACTAGGTGAGTACTCAGGAGAGCCTGGTATTTACTCCAATTGCAGGGTATGTTGAGAATCAGGGTCTGTTTTGTTGGAATTGAATCCTTGGTACTTGGCACATAGTAGGTTCTCAGTAAAGTAGAATGAGGATGAGCCTATACTGTACTTTCTCAACTGTGATCCTCTTATCAACCCTTTGTTGTTTGGGTTTCTGCCCCTATTAACTCTCCTCATGCTTTCCTGAAGATCAGCAGTAGAATCTTAATTATCAAACCAGTGTCTCGCTGTCAACCTCCAACTTCCTTAATCTCTGCCTAGCATTTAACACTCTTGAACCTTTTTCCCCCCAGCAACTCTCTTCATTTTTCCTTCTATTATTTCTTCTCATTCTGACTATCCCATAAATGTTGAGATGCTCCAAGGCTTTAGCTTGGTTATCTTTTCATTCTTCCCCCGCCCCCTTCCTCCAAGGATCTCAAATATGCCTATAAATTCAGTGACCCACATTAAATTTTACTAGCCCAGCCGTGTCTCTCAAACTTTGATTCTTATTTCCAACTTGACAAACTTTGTCCAATTTAACTAACCTACCAGGGTATTCAAAAGGTATTTATAAATTCAACATGTACATAGCTAAACTCATTATCTCACCTACCCAGTACCTGCTGTTTGTATTGCTGTATGTTTGAACTCTTAATTATATACACTAAATCTTCCTGTTCTGTTTTTTTTTTTTTTTGGAGACAGAGTCTCGCTTTTGTTGCCCAGGCTAGAGTGAGTGCCATGGCGTCAGCCTAGCTCACAACAACCTCAATCTCCTGGGCTCAAGCAATCCTACTGCCTCAGCCTCCCGAGTAGCTGGGACTACAGGCATGCACCATCATGCCCTGCTTATTTTTTCTCTATATATTAGTTTGCCAATTAATTTATTTATAGTAGAGACAGGGGTCTTGCTCTTTCTCAGGCTGGTTTCGAACTCCTCACCTCGAGCAATCGGCCCCCTCGGCCTCCCAGAGTGCTAGGATTACAGGCGTGAGCCACCACGCCCGGGTGTTCATTCTTTTTGTGCTCACATCCCTAAATTTGTTAAACCCATGGTTGCTAAACCCTGTTGGTTATATTGGAGTACTGTTTGACATGTGGCTTTTCTTCATCCCCACTTACCAGAGGTCAAAACTGGACATCTTGTTTAACCATCCCAATGGATTAAAATTTTGCAAATACTTACAGTCAGGGCCTGCACTTTTCAAAGATGTCAGATACCATCATTCTCCGAGATCTGACACGCTGAAGACTTCACATTTTACCTACGTTGCCTCTAGGAATTTGAGTAACTCCTGGTTCAGACCCTTATCAAGTGGACCCCTACCACTCTACCAGAAGTCTTTCCTTACTCGTGTTTTCTCCATATTGTTGCCCAAGTTATCTTCCAAAAGGCCAAGTCTAATCTTTTCATTCAGGGAAAACAGAGAACCAGTGTTTTGTTTCCCTGTTTCCTACTTAGCTTGATTTGTAAAGCCCTTCACAATTTGGTCCTTTCCTACCTGTTACTTCTGTCCCTTTCCCCCAGCCATTTCTTTCCTCTCTAGCCTCACTAAACTTCTCATTTTTCCCATTCCCTGTATATACTATGTTCTTTTAGGACTCTGCCTTTTCCCAGTGGCCTTACCCTTCTCTGACTGGCAGAGTACTCATCCCTCAGGAGACTTAGTTCATGTATGAATCTTCTCTGACTTCCCCAAGCATAGTTACTCTCTTCCTTATTTGTACTTCCACAGCACTGTGAGTCTCCTCCACTACAGTGTTGAGTTCCTTGACTGAACGTGGTGTCCCTGGTCGAGAGGCTGACCTCTTCAGATAGGGGCTGAAGTGGGTCTCCAGGGTCAAACCACTATTCTGAGTGTCTTTATTAGTCTTTGCAATATTAGAAAATACACAAGCTCTCTTGTTAGGTGGCATGTTTTTGGTTCCTATTTGATACACTTGAGCCCATGCCTGCCTATTCTGTATGTGTCGCCTGAAACCATTAGATAACCACTCAAAGTTAATTTGAAGATTTAAAAGTCTTGCTGAGGCTGGCGCAGTGGCCTGTAATCCTAGCTCTCTGGGAGGCCCAGGCGGGTGGATTGCTCAAGGTCAGGAGTTTGAAACCAGCCTGAGCAAGAGCGAGACCCCGTGTCTACTATAAATAGAAAGAAATTAATTGGCCAACTAATATATATAGAAAAAATTAGCCGGGCATGGTGGTGCATGCCTGTAGTCCCAGCTACTCGGGAGGCTGAGGCAGCAGGATCTCTTGAGCCCTGGAGTTTGAGGTTGCTGTGAGCTAGGCTGACGCCACGGCACTCACTCTAGCCTGGGTAACAAAGGGAGACTCTGTCTCAAAAATAAAATAAAATAAAAGTCTTGCTGAAATCTAGCCCCACAATATTACCTGACATTTTTATAGTGCTTTACAAAATTATTTCCCTTATATCATTTTATTTGATACCCACAATAACCCTGTGTTAGGTAGGCTTTGTTATCCCTGTTTTACCAGTGGTTACAAAGCAAGTTCTGACATGGAAGCATACATTCAGGTAAGATACAGAAAGAAAACATGTTTTTACACTGCATTAAGGAACTGGTTTGTCTCTTTGTAGTTAAATATACTCTACTCGGTTCCACAGAAATGGTGCCTTTGCTCAACAGGCAATTGCTAAAGATCTTGCCTTTTACAAGGCTACTTTATCATCAAGGTAGGAGGAGGAGGTACCCAGTGACTGCCTGACCTAGAAAAGCCCTTGTTGTGGTTAGAGACCTTGATGAGAGTTAATGGTGTACCTAGTCTAGCCTCTCATGTTTTTCTACTGTACTTCAAATATCTGGGATTTTTTAAAAGCTCTTACCCTCATGTAGTGTCAAACCAGGCTGGTGAGTGAAGGCAATCATCACAAAATGGAGTATGCTGAGTGTAGAAAAGCTGTCATAGTATTGTAATTCTAATTCTAGTAAGTGATTAACTTTGTAGAGCATGTCACAACTTTTGGAGGGTTAAAATGCCCTATTTGGGATTTTGTGAAATTTGACTATAGGAAGATGACCCATTAGGGCTAGGAAATAATCTCTGTTAGATACTGGCATATGGCATTCAATTGTGATCCCCTTATACTTGAGAGGCTAATCAAAGATGATTAAAAGGTTGAAAAATAGGTCCTATCATTATAAGTTAAGAAATAAAAAAGGAAAGATTTTGGCCTAGAGAAGGAAAAGCTAAGAGTTAGCTTGATTACCATCTTCAAGTATAAGAATAGCTTTTGCCAGGGGGATTTCGATTAATTAGTCTTCGTGAACTTCAAAGATTCAAGAGGAAATGGTCTTAAATTGAATGAGGAGTAATTTTGATGAATACAAGAAGAGTTTTTTGATCATCAAAGTTGGAAAACATTTGAATGACTGCTCAAGAGAATGTTGAATTTCTTTCTAACACTTGACCAGTCACGGTGGCCCTGTACAGGGTTTCACTGTGTTGCCCAGGCTGATCTCAAACTCCTGGCCTCAGGTAATCCTCCCACCTTGGCCTGTGAAGGCACTGGGATTATAGGCTTGGGGCCGTGCCTGGTCAAGTGTTGAATTTCTGACTGTTCCGGCTATCTATTACTGTGTAAAAAAATCACCCTAAAACTTTCGATGGCATGACCATTTTATTGCTCATGATTCTGTGGGTTAGTAATTCAAGGAAGGGGAGGACATTGCTTTGTTCCGTGTGAAGTTAATTGGGCTGGAAAATCCAAGATGGCTACACTCACACGTCTGTGGTCTTGGAGCTAAGGTCAGCCACATTGTTGGCTGGGACATCTTGGTTCTCCTCTGTGGGCTCTGCCTCTTTTTTGGTCTCATCATTCATTAATCTAGATCAGGCTCCTTTTACATGGTGGGTAGTCCATAACGAAAGCTGTAGGGTTTCTTAAGACCTAGGCCTGGATGTCACACATCATCACTTTTGCCCCATTCTTTTGGTCACAGTAAGTCACAGTTATAGGCCAGATTCAAGAGGAGGGGATGTGGACTTCACCTCTAAGGACAGAGCATCAAAGTCACTTTGCA